CGCGCATCAACTGAAAACCCTAAATTTGTATCACAGTACGGAATGACCGACGGCATGTTTGGAAGCACTGAGAAGCCCAGATTTGTACCACAGTACAGAATGCCCTACGGTCTGTTTAGAAACCCTCCCAAGTTTGCACCACAATACAGAATGCCTTACGGCTTGTATGGAAGCACTGAAAGGTCTAAATTTGTACCACAGTACGGAATGCCCTACGGCCTGTTTAGAAGAACTGAAGAACCCGAGTTTGCACTACAGTACAGAATGCCCGACGACCTGTACGGAAGAACTGAAAGGTCCAAATTTGTACCACGGTACGGAATCCCCTACGACCTGTTTAGAATATCCGAAAAGCCCAAGTTTGTACCACAGTACGGAGTACCCTACGGTTTGTTCAGAAGAACTAAAAACCCCAAATTTGCAACACAGTACGGAATGCCCGACGTCCTGTTTGGAAGAATTGAGAGGCCCAAGTTTGTATCACAGTACGAAGAGCCCTACCCTCTGTACAAACCGGCAACTGGCCAAAATTGGAACGGCAATCCATTTAGCAGCATGTTCGGTTTATCCACACTTTTTCGATCCTTGTCTGATGCTCTAATGGGACTTTAGACGCTAACGTGTGGCAAAATAAATGTGTGGGCAAATTTAATGTTACATTTTGCATATGTTTGATACAAAAACTACGTGCTTTAATTCACCATAGTCTAGTATTGTGCATTTATGATGGCACTTATTTGTGTTGCATCTATATATAAAATTAACATGTGAGATTATAGGGACGGAAATTTCTTAGCTGTAGTGATCTGCACTTGTGACGTGCGCTTATACGTGCTATTATGCGAATATTACCACTCTTTTGCGCCCATGAAACTGAATGACGTTTGAGTTCTACATTTTTGATCTCAAAATACAAGCTCCTATGTGTCTTTATTGTATATTATCCAAGCGCTTCCCTCTATCCAGTGGTTGCAAGATAAAAAATACAATGAGCTGCTGAAGCCTCAAACACAC